GTGGGTGTTAACTTCTAGGTTAATTCTTTTTGATCTAACCTTTTCTCTAGTTCCTGTTCCCCTTTTCCTATTGGCCTCAGTTGCTTTTAAGGTATCTGCTTTAGTTTCTCTGCGTTAAGGGCAACAAATGCTAGCTAATTTTTTTAGGTGTCTTACCTATCCTCACCCCTTCCTTGTGTGCTCTCGCTTTTATCATGTGCTCATAGTCCAATCCCATTGTTGTGTTTGCCCTTGATCTAATGTCCACATATGAGGGAGAACATACGATTTTTGGTCTTTTGAGCCAGGCTAACCTCACTCAGAATGATGTTCTCCAATTCCATCCATTTACCAGCAAATGATAACATTTGGTTCTTCTTCATGGCTGCATAAAATTCCATTGTGTATAGATACCACATTTTCTTAATCCATGTGCCCTTTCTTTTCTGTTTCTTTTTTCATTTCTTTATTGTGATAAATTATATATAACATGACTGGGGATATTGCTCAGTTGTAGAGTGCTTGCCTAGCATGTTCAAGGTCCTGGGTTTGATCCCAGTACTATTAAAAAAAAACATGAAATTTTTCGTTTTAACCACTTTTAAGAAAATAGTTCTCAGGCATGAAGTACATTCACATTTTTCTGCAATCATTACTGCTACCTATCTCCTTAGCTTTTTCATATTCCCAAACTGAAACTCTATTCCTGTTCCTATCTTTATTCCTTTCTACCTCCAGTTCCTGTCAATTAATATTCTACTTTCTAATATAAAATAAAATAATATAATTAATTAAGTACAATTTTAATCTTAATTCATTAATTTTAATTAAGTATAATTATAATTAGACTACTTAGGGACCTCATTTAAGTGGAATCATACAGTATCTTATTGTGACTGGCTAATTTCACTTAACATAAAGTACTCAGAGTCTATTCATGTTGTAACATGTATCAGAACTTCTTTCCTTTCTAAGGCTGAATAATATTCCATTGTGTGTGACATATATACTCATTTTGTTTATTCATTTGTCAATAGACTCAGACTGCTTACATTTTTGACTACTGTGAATGGTGCTACTATGAACATGGGTATAAAAGTATCTGTTGGGATATCTGTTTTTTGTTCTTTTCAGAGTACAACCAGAGGTGGAATTGCCAGCTTAAGTGGTAATTTTGTGTTTAGTTTTTTTGAGGAACTAACTGCATACCATTTTTGACAGCAACTGCAACATTTTACAATCATATCAGTAATGCACAAGATTTTAATTCTCCACAATTTTGTCAACACTTGCTATTTTTCCTATTCAAATGGGTGTTGCTTTGCTTTGGATATGGTTTGAGTTTGTCTACCATGACTTCATATATTAGGAGCTTGGATTTTAGTGTGGAGGTGTTAGGAGGTAATGTGTAATCTTTATGAGATGGTGCTAGAGGGACATAATTAGGTGATGGAGGGTGCTGGCACCCATGTAGGTTCTCATAAGAGAACTACTACAAAAGGGCAAACATAGCTCTTCCTTGTCCTCTCTGGCTTCCTGCCTCAACATGTGATCTCTCTCACACACACTTCCATCATGATGCCATCTACCATGATGGTCTGATGCAGCCAAGGGTACCCTCACCAGAACTAGCATCAGGCTGTTTGGATTTTTGACTTCCAGAACAGTGAACTTTAACTATAATCTATTTTTAAATAAAGTAATTATCCTCGGTTATTTTATCATAGTTAATGAAAGAAAAATAGACTTACACAGATGTAAAGTAGTGTCTAACCATGCTTTTCATATGTGTTTCCATAATGATTAGTGATGCTTGAAGTCATTTCTATATCTTTTTTGAAGGAATGTCTAGTCAAGTGCTTTGCTCATTTTTGAATGTGTTGTTAGAAGTTGGTGAGCTGTAGGAGTTCTTTATATATTCTGTATATTAATCTCTTATCAGACTTATGATTTATAAATATTTCTTTCCTTCCATTCTGTAAAGTGCCTTTTCATTTAATTTATAGTGTGTTTTGATGCACAAAAGTTTTAAATTTTGATATAGTCCAATTCACATATTTGTTCTTTTGTTGTCAGCACTTTTGGTATCATGTCCAAGAAATCATTCCAAATCCAATGTCCCCTATGTTTTCTTCCAAGATTTTTTGTACTTTTAGCTCTTGCTTTTAGGTCTTTCATCCTATTTGAGTTAATTGTTGTAGGTGTAAGGTAAGGGTACAGCTTTATCCTTTTGCTTGTGGATATGCAGGTTTTATAATGCTTGTTGAAAAGATTATCCTTTGTTCATTGAATGATCTTATTTCTTGAGATCTTGTTTGGAGGTTCTAGCAGGGGAGCATAGCTACTTGTATACCCTTGACCAAAGAACGGTCCTCTTTTATCAGGGATGATTGTCGACCAAGCGTGCAGCTTTGGGAGGGACACACATGGAGCAGTGAGGGACACCCGCCTAGCCAGCCAGATCAGCAGAATCAACCCTGGCAATCAATGGGGTGACAAATGTCGCAGCCAGATTGCCTCAATCCAATGATCTTGTTTCTTTTATTGAAAATCATTTCATCAGTTATGTCAGGGTTTGTTCTATTCCATTAACCTTTCTTCCAGTACTACATTCTTTTTTTGCCTTGTACTTAGTTGTGAAATCAGGGAGTGTGGATCCTGCATTTTGTTTTCTTTTTCAAGATTATTTTGAGTACCTTTTGATATTCTATATGACTTTTAGGATGGAGTATTCTATTTCTGCATAAAAGTCATCAGGATGATGTAGAGTCTTTACCTAATAAAGACTGTTATTCCTCAGAATTTGTTACTATTATTTCCTATTTTTCCAATGAATGGAACATACCTTCTTTTCTTTGTATGCTCCATAATTTTTTGTTGAAAAATAGACATTGACTATTATGTGATAACTCTGGAAATAAGAATATCCCTTTTCCCAATAATTTTTTATTGTTGCTTGCTATTGTTGTTTGTGTGTTTAGTGAATTCTTTAAACTATTTTTGTAAAGATATTATTCTTTGTCATATGTGGTTTCTGAAGTCTTTTTTCATTTAGCTTAGTGGTCAGCTAATGGGTTTCCATAAATACATGGAGCCTGAAAACAACAAAAAAGAAAAAACAGAACAAAACAAAACAAATTTCAAGGCCTTTTTTGACTTGGCCCTGTGTAAGACCATTCCTTCCACATAGCATGCTGTTTACAGCTCTTCCTTAGACTTTACAGTCTACTTTCACTGAGTGTATAATAAAGACATCTGCACACCCATGTTTATTGCAGCATTATTCATAATAGTCAAACTTTGGCAACAGCCAAGATTTCCCACAATTGATGAATGGTTTAAGAAAATATATTTATATATAATGGAATTTTACTCAGTCATAACGAATAATGAATTTTTGTCATTTGCAGATAAATGGATGGAACTGGAAAACATCTTAAGTGAAGTTAGCCAAGTTCAGAAAGCCAAAGACTGCATGTTCTCTCTCATATGTGGAATATAGGCATAGTATAAATACAAATATCATATACATATAAATATATACAGAATATATACCCCAAAGTGGGACTGGTAGAGGAGACTAAGGGAGGAGGAAAAGAAGGAAAGAAAGATAGTGAACAATAATGAAATCTGTATAGGAGCAAGACATAATGAAACACACTGAAAACTGTTGAATAACACAAGATGGGAGGAAAAGGTGAGGAAGTACAGTAAAAGTGGTGTTAGATTGACTTAAGCACAATACATTTACAGGTAAAATAGCAAGGCAAAAAATCACACTGACCAAGGAACAGACACCTAAAAAATGAAGAACAGGAATATAAAATAGGTCACACCAAGGGGAAGGTATTAATGGGAAAGGGAGGGTAAAAGAAAGAAGTAAAGAAGGTGAATATGATTGATGTACTTTCTGTATAAGAATGAATATAGAATTTTTAAACCTGTTGAAATTCCCATAAGAAAAAGGACTAAGGTTGGAAAGAGAATAATGGAAGTGATGAACTAATTCAGGGTATAATATATATATGGAAATGTCACAATGAAACTCCCTGTATAACCATCATAACCACAAAAATGAATTTTTTTTTTAAAATGAAAGACAGGAAGGTAAAACAGGTACTGGCTGGGGGGTTGGTATCAGTGGAATGAGGAGAGAGAAGGTATAAGGAAAGGGAGAGTATGGTAGGAGTACTGTGTATTCATGTATGAAGGTGGAACAATGAGACTTGTTAAAACAGTTCTGGGAAGTGGGAGATGAAGGAGAAGGATGGAGCAGGCAAATCTAACTAAGATGTATTGTAAGCACTTTTGTAACTATCACAATGTACCCTCATACAACTATAATATGCTAATAAATAAATAAAAGAAAAAAAAGAGCAATGTTAAATCTTAAAAAGAACAGCCACAGATGAAAGCTTATAGTCTTGTCAGGTCTTTTTTGTGCATGTGTGTGACTTTGTAGATTTCCCAGTATACACATGAACTTTCTAAAGTCCTAATTCCCTAAAGTATATTATTCCCTATCTTCTCCTTCCAGGCTTTAACTGTGTTTATTGTTTGCCCCAGTTTGTTAATTGGCCTTTTAATATTTGTGAGCAAAATTTTCCATGTAAGTGCTTCTCTACCTTGAAAAAGTTCCAGGTAGAAGAAACAAAGGAAAGCTTCTTGAGTTACTATCTCACAAAGTCCTCAGACAGATCAAAACAGACAAGCACAATTCCTTTGAAGCAAAGTCTCCTCAGATTCCTCAGGAACATAAAAATCACAAAGGTTCTTTAGTGGGGAGCCATTTTAAGAGGAGTCTTACCATTTGACATTAATGCCTGAGGGATAAGAAATCCCTGTATTTCTGAACATCCAAGTTCCAATGCCCTTTCCTCTTGACAGACTCAGTGGCTAGACACTCCAAGAGCCAGTGTGGGCCCAGGAAACTGATTGTAAGTTGTTTGGATAAATGCTCATGGACGCAAGGATACATGGTAGGAAGCATGGACTTCATTGAAGAGTGAACCAGAAGATACTTCCATTTAAAAGTTATTGGACCTCTGGTAACATGAGGAAAAACAGCTGAGTGTGGATTTCTATGAGGACTGGGATGACAACTAGCGTGGCCTGGACTGGTGAATCTCTTGGGGCCTGTAGCCCCACCCATAAGTGCAAATCGCTTTGGTTTGGTCATCTTCTCCATGCTGGAAGACTCAGAAATATTTATAGGGTATGCCACCATGGCTTGGATATTTGCCACACCCTGGAGTGCACTGACACTATCATAGGTCACTCCCATGCTCTTTCTGACAAGTCTGGAGGACTTTGTGGCCAGAATCAAGAGACAACCCACAGAATGGGAGAATATCTTTGCCAGCTATTCATTGGATAAAGGATTAATATCTAGCATATACAAAGAGCTCAGAAAGTTAAACGAACTAATGAACAAATAATCCAACTCATAAATGGGCAAATGATAGTTCTCAAAAGAATTACAAATGGCTAATAAACATAAAGAAATGTTGAGCATCCTTAGACATAAAGGAAATGCAAATCAAAAATCATTGAGATTTGGGTCCAAAATGGCAGCTAAGATAGGGAATCAGATCTCCTAAACTCTGTGACTCCAGAAACAACCTTGAGACACTGGAGCTACTCTTGGATAACTCTGCTCCTAGCCAAAACAATAACCACCATCACACTAGGTGCAGATAAAATTCAAAGACTGACCCTTAAATCAGCCTTTAATTGCACCTAACAACTGTGAAAATCTTGCCCGACACAGTCAGCAAGGTGTGTCTGGCCTCTGGCCCAGGGAAAAAAGCCCCTGGCTGCTTCTCTTTTTTTTTTTCTTTTCTTTCTTGTCCCAACAAGTAGAACACAGAGCATCAATCAGAAGCAACCTCTGCGACATCCTGGACCCCTAGCCCATGGAAAGCCTCCCTATGCCTTGCTGCACAGAAAACAGCAGCACCATTTTCCCCTGCCAACTGGCTCCAAAGCTGCCTGTGTGAAACTGCAGAAGGAACAGGTGAGCATCACACACCATGCGCACTCCTTACAATCCCCATCCCAGGGAAAATAATCCAGCGTAGCCCCTAGGGAGACTGAACCCCTGCCCCAGCAAAACTGAAAATTATAAACAGCAAACTGTAACTGGATGCTGACATTGGAGGTGGGTGTGGATCACTGAACCTGCCCAGGAGAATGGGGGTGGCGCAAGGAGCCTAACTCTCAGTGCTGAACTCTCAGTGAGGTTCCATGAAGCAGCAAAGGCTGAGAGCAGGGACGGGCGACAACTCAACCACCCAGAGGAGCTGTTGGCACCCAGCAGGGATTGGGAGAGGCATAAAGGCTGAGAAAGGAGTGGAGTGACAAACTAACCTCTCAGAGTACTGCCAGCACTCAGCAAAGATCAGGAAAAGCACAAAGACTGACAGCAGGGGTAGAACAAAAGGCCAACCTCCAAAAGCAGGGCAGGAAGTGGATCCTGGAGCTGATCTCTGGGACAGACTGCAGCATTCAAAACTGAATTGCCCCACCTTGCTAGGGGAGGAGCTGACCAAACAGAGCTGCAGCTGAAGAACAACACAGCTGCCACCTACTGAAAACAACTATGACCACTTTGCATTAGCTGGCAGTCTTACCTCACCTCACAAATCCAACTAATCTTGTGGAACAGAAGGTCCAAATACCACTCACAAGTCAGTCACCTGGTGAGACCACATCAGAACTTGTGCTTGAACACCAGTGCAAGGATTGGACACCTAAGAAATAACTCCATAACTTTTACCAATAGACTGAACTTTCTGTGGTTCCTGAGCCTGGTTTTTTTTATTGTGCTTCTTTTTTTTCTTTTTTATTCCTGTATTGTTACCTCCATCATCACTATTCTATTATCCCTATTTTCATCATCTTCACTCTCCCTCTTTCTCCTGTACTACAATCCATTTTTCTCCTTCCCAACTACTCTTTCTGCCCCTTCTCATCTACTCTTTCCCCTGTCTTCGCCTCCCTCTCTTATCCTTCTCCAACCTGTCACCACACTACAGCTTCCTCCTACACACTCACAACCTGCTCAGTAGCCTACTGTACCAAATGTACACAACACCAGCCCCTGCAATCCCTGGCACAAACACCTCCATTACAACAGAAATACACCCAAACACACACAAGGGCTACAAAACCCTGCAGTCCCCATACCTATTAACCCACCCACCCACCCCTTTTCCTGCTCCCCTTTTAACTGCCACCTTTACCAATTCCACAAAATCTATAACTAACCTAATATCCATTACTCCCCTGAACTCCAACTATCTATAGATATTCTCAGCAAGGGGTTTTCTATATAATATGTAAATGACTGGTTTGGCATTGAACCTGTGAATTTGTAATTGATAAATTACACCGTCAGACCAGGGACAGATAGAGCACATCAACCTAGCTAACATCCAAGTCAGCCACAACACAAAAATTAAATCAGGGAAAGAAATCAGGCAATTAAAATCACAAACTAGCCTACCAAAAACATACTTGCACAGAACCAAGTGGAGTGATGGGATGAAAAAGAAGGGATGGGAGAGGGTTGGGGAGGGGATGGGAGCAGTGGGGAGAAATGGCCCAAACAATGTATGCACATATGAATAAATAAAATTTTTAAAAATATAAAAAAGAAAAAGAAGGGATGGAAGCCACACTTCTCAAAAAAATAATTCAATACAGGATTCAGTGAGAAATGAAGAAAATGGATACTCAGTTCCTGACCTCAACAAAACAATGATAAATATAACTAAGAAATCCAATGATGCCCATAAAAAAAACCCTCAAAGAAGAAATCTTTGAAGAAATCTCTGAGAAATTCATGCAGAAGGTATTAGACATGGCTAACCAGAATGTACAAGATGCATTCAAGAAATTTTAAAATACCAAAAATAAAGAGCATGAGATGACACAGAAACAAATAAAGGAACTCAGAGAGGACTTCAAGAAACATCAAACCAAAACAAAGAACACTATAAAATTCAAGGTGCATGAATTAAAGAGGACAACTCAAATTATACAAAAGGAATTGAACAAAGATGTGGAAAACCTCAGAAGAAAGAACCAAACAAAAGTCCTGGAATGAAAAAGTCCCTGTACTCAAAAAACAAAAAACACAGTGGAAATCCACTCCAGTAGACTAGAACAAGTAGAAGACAGAATCTCAGAGCTCAAAGATAAAATAGAAATTAAAGGAAAAAAAGATGAAATCTTAGTCAAACAAATCAAGACCTGTGAAAATAATATGCAAGAACTCAGTAACTCCATCGACATACCAAACCTGAGAATCAACGGGCATTGAAGAAGGAGAAGAGGTACAAGCCAAAGGGATATGTAACATATTCAATTAAATAATAACAAAACATTTCCCAAATCTCGAGAAAGTTTTGTCAATTCAGGTACAGGAAGCCTCCAGGACACCAAACAGACTTGACCAAAATAGAACCTCCCCACAACATATTATCATTAAAATAACAAGAACAGAAAACAGAGAAAGAATATTGAAGGCTGTAAGAGAGAAAAAACAAGTAAGATGTAAAGGTAAGCCCATCAAAATAAAAGCAGATTTCTCAATGCAAACCTTAATTAAGAAGGCTTGGAGTGAGGTATTTTAGGCACTGAATGAAAATAACTTCAACCCTAGGAGACTCTACCAGCAAAACTATCATTCAAAATTAATGGAGGAATGAAAATCTTCCATGATAAGCAGAAGCTAAAACAATATATGACCACCAAGCCACCATTACAGAAGATTCTCCAAGGAATTCTGGATGCAGAAGGTGAAAGCAAACAAAACCATGAGAGGACAGGAAGCATCAAATCACAGGAGAAGAAAGGCAAGTAATCAGAGAGTAGCACTGATTCAGCTGCACACACCAAATCCTTAGACAACAAAAACAACTAAATGGCAGGAATCACCACATACCTATCAATATTCACACTGAATATTAACAGACTCAACTTCTCCATCAAAAGACACCATTTGGCAAACTGGAATAAAAAGGAAAATCCAACAATCTGCTGTTTACAGGAGACCCATCTTATTGACAGAAATAAACACTGGCTTGGGGTGAAAGACTAGAAAAAGATTTACCAAGCCAATGTTTATTTATTATGTTATTTATTTGTTATATTATTTATTATGTTATTTATTTGTTATGTTATTATATGCACCAATGTTAGTGCACCCAATTTCATCAAACATACACTGAAGGACTTACATACACACATACACAGTTCAACACAGAGATAGCAGGGCACTTTACTACCCTCTATCACCAATAAATAGGTCATCCAAAAAAATAAATAAACAAAGAAATCCTAGAACTAAATGACAACATAAATCAAATGGACCTATTTCACCCAACAACATCACAATATACATTCTTCTCAGCAGCCCATGGAATTTTCTCCAAAATAGATCATATCTTAGGGCACACAGCAAGCCTCAGCAAATATAACAAAATAGAAATAATCTTCTGCATTCTATCAGATCACAATGCAATAAAACTAGAACTCAACAACAAAAACAACAGCAGAAAACACACAAATAATCAGAGGCTGAATAACACATTGCTCAACAATCAGTGGGTTACAGTAGAAATAAGAGATGAAATCAAATGGTTCCTAGAAGGCAATGAAAATGAAAACACAAGCTACCAGAACCTATGGGACACAGCAAAGGCAGTCCTAAGTGGAAAATTTATAGTCATGAGTGCATATATTAAAAGGACAGAAAGATCTCAAATATATGACCTAATGCTATATCTCAAACTTCTAGAAAAAGAAGAACAAGCAAAACCCAAAACAAGCAGAAGGAGAGAAATAGTAAAACTTAGGGCTGAAATTAATGAGATAGGGACCAAAAAAGTCATATAAAGGATCATCGTGACAAAAAGCTGGTTGTTTAAAAAATAAACAAGATTGACAAGTCCCTGGCAAATCTGACTAAAATGAGGAGGGGAAAAACCCAAATTAGTAAAATCAGGAACAAAAAAAAGGAGATAACAACAAACACCAAGGAAATCCGGGATATCCTCAGAGACTACTTTGAGAACCTATATTCCAATAAATTGGAAAACTTTGAAGAAATGGACAAATTTCTAGCTACTTATGACCACCCAAAACTGAACCAAGAGAATATTAACCACCTAAACATATCTATAACATGTAATGAAATTGAAGCAGCAATAAAGAGTCTCCCAAAAAAGAAAAGTCCAGGACCTGATGGATTCTCAACTGAATTCTACCAAACTATCA